TCACATTCCCCCTCCCTCCCTTTCAGGTTTGTGGAATGGAAGTGGAGCTGGAGGACGAACGCAGGCAGCGCTCTCAGGCTCTGTCCTCCAAGAAGAAGTTGGAGCTGGACTTGGGAGATCTCGAAACCCAGATCGATGATGCAAACAAGGGCCGAGATGAGGCCATCAAACAGCTGAAGAGGCTGCAGGTAAGTTATTTCTGGTGGGGGCGGTGAAGGCACATTTTGAAGACACAAGCGTCACGTTGTCTAATCTTGTGCATGTCCTAAACAAGGCCCAGATGAAAGAGCAAATGAGAGAGCTCGAGGACCTGCGCATGGCCCGAGATGAGGCAGTCAACGGGGCCAAGGAGACCGAGAGGAAGCTGAAAGCCTTGGAGGCAGATGCTCTTCACTACCAAGAGGTAGCAATCCTCCCCCACGCGCGCACCTCCTTCCAATAGAACACACTTTTCAGAGCAAACCGGACTGTGTGGTTATGTGCAAGCGAGGATGAGCATTATTCAACTGCAAATAACATTGTCTTCTGCTTTTTTTACAGGATCTCGCCACTGCCGAGAGACTCAAGAGACAAATCCAGGCAGAGAGGGACGAGCTACAGGATGAGATTAACAACAGCAATGCTAAAAAGTAAGTTGTAACACGAGGGCTACCAGAATTCTAAAACTACTCGATCTACATTGCACTCTCACAATGTCATCGACAAAAATTCTGTTTTAGTAGGTAATAGAGGCCTTTTGTTTTTTAAAATTCTTTTTTTTAATGTAAATTACATAATGTACACAAATTAGAGGCAGGTGGTGGAATGTCTATATAGTACCACGTGCACGACGCTGTCATGCTGCTTGTGGGTCAGCGGTTATAAGTTTCTCGATTTCGACTCTCTGGGGTGTCCTGCAAAAAAATGTCAACACATCTGACTCTTATACTACACGCGGTGCAGCTCCTTTTTGTCAGGTTGGCAGGGGGAGACCAAATAATTCAATTTCCCCCTTTGACTTGGAGGTTAACCTGCACCACGCACTGGTTTGCTTTAAACTTTGGAGGTTCCTCTTAACTTTATGATGCATGATGGTGTCAAACAGTAGCATGTCTTGATGGTCAACAATTCAGCGTTATGGTTAACAGTTTGTAGTATACATTTGCTAGTTGAACAGATTTCACGTAGCAAAACAATCACTCAACTCATCCAGAAATAACGGTCCCATTCAGAATGTGGAAAGAAAACGCAGTTACTCTCCAGCATTTTTGCCAACCTGCTCAGGCAATGGCCTCTTCATATTAAACTGTACCGACTTGACATGATCATTTTAGTCGGTTAGGCTGAAATATATTTTCATCAACTGTTAAAATCCCTATTGAGAGCAAACGTTCAATAATCTGGTCTGGTTGCCGTAAATTCACATGAATTCTGATGGAAAGGTTCTAACTATGGCACTTCCTGTAATTTTGCAAACCTAAGTGACTCTCACCCTTCAATTTATTGTTCAGTTCACTGCAGGCTGAAGAGAAAAGGAGGCTGGAGGGTCGCATTACCCAGCTAGAGGAGGATTTGGAGGAGGAGCTACTTAACACCGAGATGGTCAATGAGCGTCTGAAGAGAACCACACTGCAGGTATGCTCCAGCCCCTCCCTCTTTTGGAAGTATGAAATAAAAGGCAAAGTGACTAGAGCACAATTTATTTGGATTTTGTCATTTAGATGGAGCAGCTGACCACAGAACTCTCCGCCGAGCACAGCAATGTCCAGCGGCTGGAGGGCACTCGATCGCAGCTGGATCGCCAGAACAAGGAAATGAAGCTGAAGTTACAGGAGCTTGAGAGCACCATCAAGTCCAAGTACAAGTCCAACATTGCCTCCCTGGAGGCCAAGATTGCTCAATTGGAAGAGCAGCTCGACATTGAGTCCAAGTCAGTCTCTTATTGCTTTTGGGGGCAGAAAACCTCTTTCAAAGGTTTTGTCGTCATTGGTGTCCCCCATTCATGTTCCTTTTGGAATTCAGGGAGCGTCAACAAGCATCCCGGCTGGTCAGGAGGACGGAGAAGAAGCTGAAGGAGATCATGTTGCAGGTAGACGATGAGCGGCGCAACGCGGAGCAATACAAGGACCAGGTAAGCCTTCGTCTATTTCATCCTGCCACCAGATGGCGCTGTTATTTATTTCCATCATGTGCTGCACATACCAGTGACTGTGTGTGTGTGGCATTGTGATCTAAGTGGCTTAAAAGCTTTTTTTTTTTTTTTTTTTTTTAATAAATCCAGTATAGTACAAAAAAATAAAACTAGAGATTAAAGGCAACAGTAAATACGAATGAACTGCACTGAAAGGGTAAGCCAACTCAAAATTTATTTCCAATATGTTCAATCGGGCCCTACACGTCATGGCATTCTGATTAATGCTTTTGTGGAATATGAACTAATCAGCAAAATTACCCCCCCCCCTTTTTTTTTCTAAACCCTTTTCATGGGGTGGCTGTTTTGCCACTTGCTGTCAATTGAAGATGACACCACAGTTGCTTAGGTATCAACCGATCATGACACAACTTGTTTGACTTGGCTTCCCCTTTCAGTGCCGTTCAGTAGTATTTGACGTGATGTGGGTACAACTATCGCCTTTAATGTCTAGTTTTATTTTCCAATATCGAAGTGGAAAGTTAATGTTCAAACAATCTGCGGTGGCAGTGCATAGTCAAGTTGAAAGTCCTCTTTAAATTGGCTGATTGGAAGAAGAGATGCCAGAAACACGTGATTAACGGATCATCGACTTCAACCTTCAAAAGTCGATGCTTAACTGTAAGGTTGGATCATCGGCAACCAGATCACTAACCTAGGGAGGGTAAAAAAAAAACTAAAAAAAAATCTTTAAATTTCGCCCAACAATTCCGCTTGCATACATTTGCGAACTGTCTCTGCAGGCCGATAAGACCAACAACCGCATGCGTCAGCTGAAGCGCCAGTTGGAGGAGGCTGAGGAGGAGGTGACGCGAGCCAACGCTTACCGTAGGAAGCTGCAAAGGGATCTGGAAGACGTGACTGAGTCGGCAGATGCCATGAACCGGGAAGTCAGCAGTCTGAAGAGCAAGCTCAGGTTAGTGTACATTACAACAATCCAGCCAAAGAATAAAAAAAGATGACATGAAGCAATTTAGTCCCGATTTACAATACTTGCCCGGTGTCTTAAATCAGCCTCAATGTCACAAAACGGCTCTCACACACATTCAGAACTACAAAGATTTAACGATTTACTTGATTAATTTTATACATGTTGGGTGCTTTTCAGTCATTTTTACATTTTGTTCCTTTTTAAAATGGGTTAGCACCAACCTGTCCACACATCCAGGCATTTACCTAAATAACCATTTCACTTGTCAGATACTGACCCATGTTCGTATGTTTTGTTGTGAAGGCGCGGAGACGTACATTTGAACATCCGCCGCACCATTGCTCGCACGGGACTGGAGAGTGACGAGGATTTGGATGCGTCCACCGAGGTGTCCGAGCAGGCAGCTGAATGAACGAAGACACGCAGAGGGGAATATTCTGATTCCAATTCAGTTGCAAAGATGGCGCCAACAAAAGCCTTGCCAATCTCAAAGTATACAACATGCTGTCACAGAAATATCATGCTCTTCCATTCCTTTATGCAACAGCCATTTAGGTTTTAAATTTATGTTCATCTCAGTGACCAAATCATTTTCTCCTAAGGGCTTGATCATGTGCCGTACAATGTTGCTTGAACTGCTTCTCACTTTTCTATGCTTTTGTTATTGGTGCATATCCAATGCTGGTGCCTGGGTTTCATGTTGGACATAAGAATAAGTGTATTGTCTCTTTCAGATGTTACCTCAACTCTACAGGTGGTGGGTTTACGGGTTTACCATTTAGTATCAATCAGCACATTTGTCACCAAATGTTGTTCTGCCCTAACTCGTAGTGCATAAACACTCTTGCCCAAAAATAAGCACATTGTATCGTCGCCAAAATTTTATGGCTGTTTCTACCTTATAAAATGCCTTTATGCAATAAATAAATGGATATAATAAATATGATCACTTGTGTGTGTTAGTCGAGAAACCAGCTTTCTGTGCTGAGAGTTGTAAAAACCACACAAAACTGCAAAACAAAACACGAAGTAAAAAAATGCTGCCAAACGGAATTATGCAAACAAAAACCAAACTCATAAATGCCGAATAAAAAGCGAAACGCAATCACAGCAAAGTGGAAGCAAAAAAAAACCCCTGTGGAAATCCAAATACACTAACTAAAAAGACTGCTACAATAACAAAAACGTAAGTTGAGGCCAATAAAACAGTTTGCCAAGACACTCGGGGACACCGCAGGACTAGTCCTGTGAGACCAGATCGTGTGAAAGACCTGAGCGGGATTCCCGGATGACTGGGTGCTGTAATTGCCCTTCTTTTGGAGAAAACATTTTTAAACACAATGGACGTTATCTTGCCCGTGGGTGGTTTCAAAGCTTGTACTTTATGTAATTAACGCAAGACATACAGTAATTAGAATTAAATTATTTGACAAAGGATGGTGGTGAATCGAAGTTCACACGAGGCCACAAACGGAGGGGGATCTGTTCTCATAGGACTGGTCATGTTTCGGTCCTGAATTGGTGAGTTTGACTTTTGTTTTGCATTTGTTTTGTAGTTTGTAATGTTAGCTTCCACTTTGTTGCTGTGATTACAGCATTTCTTGAGTTTATTTTATTTTTTGTGTATACGTGTTACTGTTTTTTGTTTACATCATTCCTGTTTGCAGTGTTTTTGTTTTGCAGTTTTTTTTGTGGGTTTAATTTGCATGTTGGTCTTTTTTGCATCAGATAAACCATCTTACATCGCTTGTACTAAAACATACGAGGACCCATCACTATATTAGTTTTTTATGACAAATTGTTTGACTCGTTATGTTGTGAGTCGGACTAGTTTTATATTTCTCTTAGTGAACTTTTATTTTGAAAGTCCACATCTAAATTATTTTGAAATGTACGGAGCTTGTTCATACCCTTTAAGTTAAAGCGGAAGCGCGTGGACGTCAGTGTTGTGTTTCGCTTAATTCCAGCAGCAACTTTTGGCAACACTAATTGCCTGTTGTTTTTTTGTTTGTTTGTTTTTTGGGCGTTTCTTTCGTGCCGCTGTCGGATGAAGCGTGTGGCTAAACTTGGAGAAGTCGTCGTAGATTGATCTGACTCTATACTGTGACTCTATACTCGTAAGTGTTCTCTGCGTACGCCCCCAAACAACAACATGGCGTTTTTCAAGATGTTTGGAGTGAACGCCGTCTTTGTAACTCCTTAACTTGTCTTGAGGTGAGTGCTAGCTATGAACTATAACTGATTCGGTTGAACACCGCGCGAGCTTGCCCTTCACCTTCCCACCACAACCGCCGCCTGGCTACTAGCTATAGCCGATGCTAGCTCGCCGCTGTCGACATGCCTTCGGGTTGACGCCCGCGTTCTTTTCCCCTTTCTCAGTGGCATTATCTGACTTGAAACGCCGCCAAAACGGGAGCGGTCAGCGAGAAGGATCCCCCCGACTCGGCTTCCAGCTCGAGCGGCGTGAGGATGGAGTTCGCCGCGGTGAGTTTGCCGCTTGAAATCAACTGACCAGACGTTATCCGCGGGGGTTTCGCGACCAATACCCGCCGCGAATAGCATCAATTAACGAATAGTGGAGGCCTCCCTGAAAATGCTTATAAAATGGAGCCCCCGTTATTTGCAGGGCGAGAGAACAGGCTGGACACCGAATAGCCAAAATCCGTGTGAGGTACATTGGAATGTATGGGGGGGGAGTCCAAATAATTCCAAACAAATGCTGATAAATATACCATATGTATTTTCCACAAAAAAAAAAACGAGCGAAAACAATAAAGGAAAATTAATTTGTGAATATCTGTATCCATGGGTGCCGAACCATGAGTACGCAACGTGTACACGAGTTACACCAAATTTAGCAGCCCTGAAAAGTTTTGTTTTCCTGTCTTCCACTCTTGATAAACAATGTACAGTGATGGCTCGACATTAGGACTGATCGATTAATCTAATGCAGTGAGTGTAGTATCACATGTCTGCCTATTGCGAGTAGGTGTGTTTTTCAGCAAATAGCTTTTGTTCTTTGGTCATGGATTTTTATGATAAAAATCTTGATGAAGCAATTTCACATATTGTATCTGCAAGAGTACACTTCCCTTGTACTTGAGACAAAAACAAGACGGTACATTCCACAAGCTGCTTAACTTTTAATCATTGAATGAGGAGACCACAGTCAATATAAAGTTATGGTGTCGTTTAAAACAAGCTACTGTGTCACGGTATTGGTTAACGTTTAGGGACAACTTGGGATCATTTGTTTCAGGGCCTAAATGTGTCATAAACACCATAAAAGGAATTTGGCATCTGGAGGATGGACAAAATGGCTGCTATTATTTTTGCATCAATGTACTTCTTTTTTGTTTGTGGCCTAAGAACACCCAATACTGTACAATAGTATCCAGAATGTTTTTGTAATTTTTTTGTAGCCAAATAATTTCCCACTACAGTGCAAAATTATTGTAATATGCTTCAAGAATTGAAAAGTTTTGATTGGACTGGATTTTCTGTCCGTTGAATCCAGGGTCTGTCTGTTTCGGGTCCGTTAAATCAAGGTTCCACTGTACAGGTTAATTGTACCTTATGCCATCATGTAATTGTTCTGCCAGTCACTATATGATGCTGGCAAAGATACAGTAAATAAATAAAGATCTTTTTTTTTTTTTTTTTTTTGGAAGAACACATTTTCAGATCAATGAGGTAAAAGTGGATATTTTTGCATGCACACCTGATGATCTCTCACCGCGTAGTCATGCGGCTGGGAATCATCGCCTCAGTGTCCACCATCATTTTGCTCGACAAAGTGGCCGCTGAATGACTCCATGCGCACATTTTACTGCCATGTAACACACAGCAGCATGCCATGACTCATGCCGTTTGACAAAGATGTGGTGCAGCAGCGAGGGGGTGGGCAGATGTGCAAGCATGTCTCCGCAAGATAAAGATAGAAGCCTGTGGAAAGCGTTGCCCGGATTATAAACCTCCGCTTAGGTGGCCAAACTGGGGGAGGGTGCACGACGAGCCTTCCTTAGATTTTTTTTTTCGTGTGTGTGTGTGTGTCTCTTTCTGCGTCTGTGGCATCCAGTGATGCTTCATTCGCTGACATGCATTTCGCGACGGTGCCATCACTTCGTAGTGTGAGGTGAACCGGGCCAACATGCAGGAAAACCACCAGCCTTCCAGGCCAGGGTCAAGCAGCTTGTGGGGGAAGGTAGGATTTAGGAGCAGAACGCAGGATGTGAACTTTTTTGGGGTTGGTTATTGTACACATTGTTGAAGGTCTACGCTGTATATATGTTGCTCTTTACCTTCAGCACAATTAGGCTGTTTGTCCCCAGGGATTTACATTTTCGTCCCCACACCGAATGCTGTTCAACCGTTTAATTCTATGAATTTGTGTGTTCTTGTCTTTCAATCGTTGTGCATCACTTGTGTGTTGTTAACGTATTCCTGTCTGTCTTTATTCAGCACAACCATCTATGTGTGTGTGTGTGTGTGTGTGTGTGTGTGCGCGCGCGCGCACCACCGCTCTTTTCATCCCATTTTGTGACTGTGAGCGAGATAATGTGAGTGCGTGCGAGCACAGACCTGTTTTACACTTTTACCTTTTTGTCGCGTGAACGTGGACACGCGTGCAAGAAGCAGGCGTGCTCCGTGAACCCATCTTTATTCACCACGCGAGAACGTTTCGACTAAAATGGGCCGTGACTTACTAACGTTTATTCACGCTGATTTAATTAGGTCACTAAAATGTCAACCCATTGTGGAACTATTGTCATCATGAGGTTTGTGTCCCACCCCCCCCTTTTTTTTTTTTTTTTGCATCCTCCCGTCTTTTCCCGTCTGTATGTGCTTTGTGTGTCCCTCTTTTCCTTTCTCCATCCCTCCATCCGTCCTTTTGTGTCCTCAGGCTCATCCAGCTCTCAAAGCCTTCATGTGCGGCTCCCTCAGCGGCACATGCTCCACGCTGCTCTTCCAGCCTTTGGACCTGGTGAAGACGCGGCTGCAGACCTTGCAGAACAACGCCAGGACTGGGTGTGTATGTGTACATAGGTGAATGTGTTTGTTTGTGTTGTGTGGAAGCATTTATTTGACACACATTCCACATGCTCTCTTGGCACTAGCTGACAAGGGCACACATTGCTTGTAGGCTGTCACATCATCCACTAAGGATACAAAACGGTCATCTCATGTTGCGATAGCTGATGTGTGACCCTCCTTGTATTGCGTCTTGCAGTTCACCAAAAGTGGGGATGTTGAGTGTTTTCGTCAACGTGATAAGGACAGAAAGTGTCTTCAGCCTGTGGAAAGGAGTTTCTCCAGTGAGTAACAAAGACAGCAAACTGCTTTGACTGTTTAGCCTCTTCATCATCAGGTGGTACAGTTCGGTTCAGTTTGGCACATTGTAAAGAGTCCCCAAATATCTGGCCCCAACAGACCGTCCACTTTTCAGTGTTTCCTCTTCACAAATACTGTCTGCACACTGCCCTGGCGTCAAGATAAATTGTTTTTTTTTTTATTGCCAGTAACTGCTTGAATTCCACGCTAGTATTTGGTGGTCTCATGCCATTTGCTGTCTGCAGCTGATGCAGCAATCCCACCTTCAGACCGAGAGGTGGAAACACATACGGGCTTCAAAGTCCTAGAGGTGGAAATCAAATTTTATTGTTATTGCACATGTCACAAGTACACCACAACAAAATTCATTTTATAGTTTCAACCCATCCAAGAAACATAAAAAGACACCGACACCTGACAGAGGGAGGGAGGGCGCGAGAAGGACCGACAGGTCAAGTAAGCAGACAATATTGCTTTTTCACAGGGTACGCAGCCAACCAAATGAAACGAAAACGTTTTTTTCAATTTTAGTTTTAGTTATTTTGTCAGTTTTCGTTCACTAAAAATAACATTGTTCAGTACCCTGGGATTAACCTTAAAAAAAAAAAAAAAAAAAAAAACCTACTAAGAAGTTATTTTGAGCCTTAATGTTTTAAATTTCTCCCTGGCAGTCTTTTGTCCGCTGCATCCCTGGCGTGGGCATCTACTTCAGCACCTTCTACTCGCTCAAGCAGCACTTCTTTCTGGACCGGGCGCCCAACGCCGGCGAGGCCGTGCTACTGGGCGCTGGCGCCAGAGCGGTGGCCGGGGTTTGCATGTTACCGTTCACCGTCATCAAAACGCGCTTTGAGGTAAAAAGCGAGACACCGCAAGGGGTGACAATTCTACAGTTTCATAGCTAAAGTTTCATTGAAAAAGTACCGGTGATGAAATGACGCTTGTCTGTCCCAGAGTGGATTTTATAGCTACGTGAGCGTAGCCGGAGCTCTAAGGAGCATGTACGAGACGGAGGGAGTGAGAGCGTTGTTTTCCGGCCTCACCGCCACGCTGCTGCGTGACGCCCCCTTCTCTGGGATCTATGTCATGTTTTACAGCCAGACCAAGAAAACGCTCCCTCCAGGTCTGAATCAACACACTCTCTCAAGAAAACCACACCACGCTGCTATTTAAATATTATTAATAGAGGTGACGTTGTCAGTCTACACGCCCCTGGTCAACTTCAGCTGCGGCGTAGTGGCGGGTGTCATGGCGTCGCTGGTCACGCAGCCAGCCGATGTGGTGAAGACGCACATTCAAGTCAGCCCGTCGCAATGGAGCACAGTGGATGCTATTCGCTACATCTACAAGGTTTGTGTCAAGACGGGCTAACATGCTTTAGTGATTTTTCAGATCTTTAAAATGTGTGAGACCCAACACATGGCTCGGGGGGCGGCGAAAAAAAATGCCAAGTGTGTACTTGATGATCTTATCGCGTGTGGTGTGCTCCAAAACAGTGTTTCCCAAACTTTATGGATCCATGGCCTCTGTTTTACATTTGGAAAAACTCACAGCATACCACCAAACAAAGATGTCTTAAATACTGGATACGCCAGTTAATGATAGATTTAAATGTTCTGTATGTCACTGGCATAAATGGATGAACACAGATAAATGTTTTGTAGCAAATAAATGATAATTTCCATCCCTTGACATAGATAAATTCATGCGGCACACTGGTTTGGAATCACTGCGGTCAGTCAGGGCTTCTTAACCCAGCTTTTCCCGTACAAAAGTGGCCTGCTAATCTAATCTAAAATGATGTCAAAAATAACCTTTATACAGTGTGATCATCAAGAAAACATTTATTTATGTGTCAATGTTGACACCCAATCAGATGCCCAACAGGCAAAGAATTCCTGAATTGAATCAAGTTTTGAGTCTCAAGTCAAGCTTATGACCACAAAAAAAAAAAAAGTAGCAATTAGATTTTACCTCAGAAATAGCTTGAAAAAGCTTTGTCTTTGCGTGAGGTATTGCAACGTGTGATTGTAAAAAAAAAAAAAAAAATCCCGATCCATGCATTTCAGTGAGGTTTCTTCAATTTATTGTGGACAGATGAATAACTGAGGCCTTTTCGCCACCCAGTGGCAGAAAGCTGAATTTCAACTGAGCATCTCCTTAACAGCAACAGCTCCGATGTACTAAATTGATGACACACACACACACACACACACACACACACACACACACACAGATATGATATCTACACTTACAGTCATGAGTCTCCACCCCCAAACTAGATGTCTGTCTCAGTTGTATTTACACTTCCAACGCAGCGTTGAGTATGTTTGAGCAAAGTTAGTGAGACATTTGCCGTTGTTTTCCTCCTCAGAAACACGGCCTTGGCGGCTTTTTCCGCGGTGCCGTACCTCGGTCCCTCCGCCGCACACTGATGGCCGCCATGGCCTGGACTGTCTACGAACAGCTGATGGCTCGGATGGGCCTCAAGTCCTGAAGATGGCGGCGAGGCACACAAGAATTTTGTCAAGCCTGTAGCGTGAGAGCGATTGAGTGTAGTGTGAATGAGTGTGCGCGTGTGTTTGATGCTAAATTATTATAACTATTTGTGAAAATGTGTTCTACGAAGTGCGGATGTGAGATTTTGAACTTTCTGCAGGAGCAAAATCTTTGCGAAGTAGCAACACTGACCGGTTGAGTTGCACTGAATTGTGGCATATTTTTTGAGCTTGCATGCGATTGAACAGGGTTTCTGACTCACCAATAATCCTCCACCGATCAGAAAACGGGTTTAGTTTTAGGCTCAGACAATCACAAATAACCACGCACATGCACAAAAAAATTGGCTTATTGCTCTACTGCTCACAAGTCTGCTATAAGAGGTTACTCACACTATTTATTTATTCAAACATTTGCTATTTGACTCAGTCATCCTTAGTCAAGCGAGAAATTGCTCATTTCTCTTTAAAGACAAATAGCAGTTTTAATTTTTTTTGTATTTTTCGCTCTTCAGCATTACCTAAACAGTGTTTAATGAACTCAGAATTTAATTACAAAAAAAGCCAAGTTTGATATTTGTCCGGCATATTTCCTCAAATTGTGGCCGTGAAAATGAAATGTATAGTAATTGTAATTTTAATCTTAGTTCATAGTTGCCATTGTTCACACAGGGACACAAAATATTTGTTCCGTAAACTTTCTGTTTGATGAATTAAAGTGCGCACTGACACCACATGTTGTAAATGAATTGGTATCACTATTTAACGACATTTTGTTATGTAGTGATTAGCACTCTCGTATACTGACATGATGGCTCCATGCAAAATAAACAAATAAAAACACCCCACCTCCCCCGCCACTATTTGCGGAAACACGCTAACCTTGACAAAACATGTTCTAAGCCTTCTGACTGTGAGCATAAATGAATTGCAGACAGTGACTAGTTAATAACAATTGAAGGCACTTTTTTCTGTACATATTTCTATAGAGCGTGAATATATTGATATTTTGACATGTCCATGCAAAAACTGCCAAATATGCGTGTTGACAGTACATGTTTGTGCAGTTACTGATCACATGATCTTCTGGTAGCAACATGGCAGCTGACAAGTGTCTTAATGTTCCTTTGTGTGTGTGTATGTGTGTGTGTGTGTGTGTTTCTAGAAGGATATCATGTCACAGTGCACTGCTGTCTATGCGCGGTGACTATTTCATCATTATCGTACATATTTGGTCTGTGCAGTGTTGCTGCGAACATTGTGCCTGTCAGTTTTTATTGTAAATAAATATAAATTTTCAATAAATTTATTTGAACTCTGTATTGTGTGTTTAATACATCTAGTCGGACCCTCGAGTGCATTATTTGAGGAATAATTCCCATTAATGGGAGGAAAGGTTGCCAACACCTAATGTAAACATGCCAGTTTTCATCTTGAGAGTTTCATCCCTTTGCCATTTTACATTGCCTGTATTCTTTCAGCAACATTCCATGCGGCGTCAACAGTCCTTGTTCTGTCATGAACTCACTGATTCAGCACGTTGCTGCACGAATTGGTCTGTGGGAGTGGGTTTAGGCTGGAGCCATGATGTTATTCCCTAACTGACTGAAACAAGCAGAGGTTTTTCCATTTTGTTTCTGTTTTGACAAGCTAAATAATTTTTATGAAGTGGTGAGAATTACCGCACTCAAAAACGTATACATATATAACATGGCACGTGCCGCGACGGAGCGTTTCCCCAAAAATCCTTGTAAATAAATTATCTTGAATTTGCGCGACTCCACGTAATAGATTTTTAGCAAAGTGGTTGCGCATGCGCATCACATTCATAGACAAAAAATAATGGATTTGTGTATTCCAAGGTTGCCTTTGCACTTTTATTGATAATTTTTCATTGCGAGTCGGCAAAAGTTCCTTTTTCGGTTATACAGCACAGTACTAAGAAAAGCATGAAAATTTGTTCACCCCAGATGGGACTCGAACCCACAATCCCTGGCTTAGGAGGCCAGTGCCTTATCCATTAGGCCACTGGGGCGCGTGGACACATTTCAGTTGTTATATTAATAAGCATATTAGATATTGGAAAGTAAGATGTCTTTACACAATAGTTCTACAAGCACAACATATTCCCACTGGTATCACCCAGAAGGGACAGAAGTTGCAATGTTGGCGTTGCTAGGCAACGAAGAGGTGCCACTTCGGAGCGAAAGCTAAGTCGTCTTATATGTTGTCTCCTGCAACACCCCTTAGAACATCAGCTCGACTTAAGTGTTCAACGATGAATAAGTGTTATTTTTAAAAATAACGATTTCTATTCTTTTAAATCATCTTACAGACTCATGTGTCAAGAGTACATACGTCACACCCAAGCAGAAAACCAAGATGGCGGCCTCTAGGAACATATTGTCGTTCTCTGGTCAAGGAGTCTGAACTATAATTGAACATTTTGCTTTGCAAACATTCTGAGGACGGAAACCGGCGTTTGAGGTGTGTTTGTTTAATATAATATTTCACCGTGTGTAACTTTTTTTCATCATGAACTACCAAACTGGCAACGTGTTGTCTTGTGTTGGTGCTTCGGCTCCCGTCGTTTTCGGACATGTTTGACTTGTGTGGTGTTTCAACAAACACTGATAGGTTTTAAACGACGCCACTTGCCTTTTACATGAAAATTGAATGTATTTCAAACGGGCTTGTTGATAAGCGAGGGTGTTGTTGTTGCTAGGTGACCGTAAAGAAACTCATACGCCACCTGTCATAACGTCATCCAGTATCATGGTTGTGGTCCGAGCAAATAAATGTAGTCATGCTGTGTTTTTTTTTTTTTTTTTAACAGGAACCAGAAGTCTTACCTTGGCTACAGGGTTTTTCATCTAGCTATCGTCTCAAGTTGTCAACATGGTGAGTGGTCATTGCAATCATCTTCCTCGTGACACCTTAATATTAAGTATGCATTTCAAAAAAGTGAACTTTTTTTGCAGATCCTGTCTCGCGTGAAACCCGCCGTGGGGGGAGAGACGACGGCCAGCGTCAACGAGAAGAAGAAGAAAAACAAAAGCAAAGTTCCCACTTTGGAAGAATATTTGCAACAGAGAGACTACCTTGGAGCACTAACTCTTTTGGAGGTACCTTGCCCCCGACATCTATCTATCTATCTATCTATCTATCTATCTATCTATCTATCTATCTATCTATCTATCTATCTATCTATCTATCTATCTGTCTATCTGTCCTTATAAATCAGACCTTCTGAAGATTGTGTTTATAAATCATACTCTCCAATTTCTTACGATAACAATACGATTTCTTTCTGATTACTTTTGTACTGTATAGTTCCAGAGAAGTATCGGAGAGCAAGAGGAGCACGCAGACCTTTGGATTGGCTTCTGCGCCTTTCATTTGGGGGATTACAAGAGAGCTATGGAGGTACTTTTTCATAGTCTTTACATGATGTTGTAAAACAATTTATGAAATCTTGACATGAGCCATGCCATTGTTGTGACAGGAGTACAAGGCACTGACTGCAAAGCCTGATTGTCCTCCTGATGTGTGGGTCTATTTGGGTTGCGCCATGTTTTTTCTGGGTCTCTATAAAGAGGCTGAGGAGGCTGCATTGAAAGGTGAATAAATGCACACCAACCACATCACCACCCATCAAAGTTTTAGTTTACAGACAACAAAACATTAAACATGACTTTGGTCTTTGTTCTGGGTGTTTAAAATAAACGTACAAAATGTAGAACAAAAACAATTACTTCAGTTTGTTTTTAGGACAAAAAGAAAAATTCAGAATTTTTTGGGGGGAACACAATAAAATAGGTACTCAAATTATAAAACAACAAATATTTTCTTAGTTTTATTGATTTAAAAATAATCACACACACTCAAAATTATAAATGGATAAAAATGAAAGAAAAATCTGAACAAGAATGTTTTTTGGTGAAAGAAAAAAAACAGAAGCAAAAAAGAAGAAAAAAAACAGAAAAAAGAGGGGGGGGGGGGGGGTGAGAGAGAGAGAGAGAGAGAGAGAGAGAGAGAGAGAGAGAGTGTAATCATTGATAGAAGCATTTATTTCACTGGGCAGCAACAACAAATTCATCGGTCGGCGGACAGACAAAATGTGTGTTATTATCATTGCTGTTGCCTTGGTTTGGTTGTCTTTGCAGCGCCAAAGTCTCCCCTCCAAAACCGACTCCTCTTCCATTTGGGTTATAAGGTACAAAAAAAACAAAAACTTAGTTTTCCTTCTCAAAGTCTTGTAACCACGTTCACATTGAACTATTCTTTTCTCGCCTCTTGTATTCCAATGCTCCGGAATCTCAGTTTAATGATAACAAGAAGCTGATGGAGTTCCACCAGAATCTGGAGGACGTGACGGAGGACCAGCTGAGCTTGGCCTCCATCCATTATATGCGTTCAGACTACCAGGAGGCCATCGAAATCTACAAACACCTCCTCAGGCAAAACATGTGAGCATCCACTCTTAGCTTTTTTTTTGGGGGGGGGGGGGCTTTATTGGGCGCAGCATTATTTAGGCAAATGCTACTCTATATGTTTAAATGGGCCTTATGTATCCATTCATAACACTGGTCAGCAGGAAACTTTAGTCAGAGGTGGCTTGATGCGTCCCCAAATGTATTTTTGACGTAGATTTAAAACATGTCGACTTCAATTTTGGTTTTTAAGTTTGACCTATAAAAGCTCACACTGTGGCGATTTGACCACGCATTATCATTTATAGCTCTGACGTCTCAGAAACAAAATGCACCTGTTGCTGAACCTAACTGACTAAATATCTTACTCTATTACTGTAAAATCCTGTGAATAACACTCATTTCTTTTTCAAAGACAGGATTTGGGTGACCATATGATACACAGGTGCATGTTAGCAAACCTAACCTGGAAGACCAAAAATAATTTTGCATAATAAATCTGGTACTGTATTGTTGATTGTAATACAGATTAATTTATTGCTTGTGTTCGTTGAAAATACATTTGGGGATTCCCTGAAAAAAATAATTGCATATGCAATTGCAATTGCATCATTGAGGGGTGCGGGTGGGAATAAAAATCACAATTCGATTTTTCAAAATCGTTCAGCCCTAACTCAGGCACATTCTTTATCCTCGGCGAAAAACGACTGCTATGATGTCAACTTACTGAGTGGTCGTGACAATGATGTAAATCAAGAGTGAGTCTTGTTGTTAAGGGAGCATTTTCCTGTCCGCTCTTGTACCCAACAAAGTGTCGTATCTGTATTTGCTGCTCCTCTAGAAACTTCCTGGCGATGAAGGTATACGTGGCTCTGTGTTACTACAAGCTGGGCTACTACGACGTGTCGCAGGAGGTGCTGGCGGCGTACCTTCAGAACATCCCCGACTCCACCATCGCCCTCAATCTCAAAGCCTGCAACCACTTCAGCCTGTACAACGGCAAAGCAGCCGAGGTGTGGACTCGGTCTCATCAGAGTTCTTTGAAACACAACCCGTCGCTCAGTGAGTTATTTTGTTGTGAGTTGTGGGCAAAACATTTCCGTTAGGAGCGGCAAATGGTTGCAGCGAACTTCACAAATAGCAGATGGTAAGCCATTCTTCACAACAGAAGGAGGAGTGCTTGCTTCAAGCTCTTTATTGCACTTAGCAGTTTAGCCATGGAAAATAAAAAAGTTCTTAATGAATCTAACAAATTGATGTTGTTGGAATTTTAAGTAGGCTCTGAGCAATATGGATTATTTTTTTTTTTTGTGATTGATACCAATTCTGATATTTAGCATAAAAAAATACCAATAACTTATTATTCGTCCAATTCTTTAAATATCATATTTTCCGCACTATAAGGCGCTTCAGAGTATAAGGCGCACCTTCAATAAATGGCCTCTTTTAAAACCGTTTTCATGTGTAGGGCGCACTGCATTATAAGGCGCATAGAATAGAAGCTGGCTGCAGTTGCGTTATGCATCCACTAGATGAAGTCATGCTGAAGGGAATACATTACAATACAGCTTTATTTATATCGAGCCTTGCCAACCGCTGCAGCTGTAACAAACCGCTTTACAGAACATTTAAAATACTACGTCCAAGAAATCAGAATATTGATCCATATATAAGGCGCATCGGATTATTATTATTATTCATTTTTAAAATACACAATCATTGGCGTTTGAGTGATTTGCAGTTTGCCTTTGACATCAACAGTTACACATTTGATTTCCCTCCTCTCACTCAGGCTAAGCTGAAGAACCTCATCGACATCTCCTCCTGCTCCTTTGAGTTTGACAAGGAGCTTATCAGACACAACCTGGTAAGCTCTCATCCCTGAGTGCAAACTTTGACCCTTAAGGGCCACTTTTTTCTTTCTTTTTTTTTTTTTTTTTTTTAATACCCAAAGGTGGTGTTTCGCGGCGGCGAGGGGGCATTGCAGGTGCTGCCCCCTTTGATCGACGTCATCCCTGAGGCTCGACTCAACCTTGTCATCTACTACCTGAGACAAGGTGACCCTTTCATAAATGATGGCATAATCCATCCATCCATCCATCCATCCATCCATTTTCCGATCCGCTCCTCCTCACAAGGGTCGCGAGTGGTGCTGGAGCCTATCCCAGCCATCTTTGGGCAGTACGCGGGGGACACCCTGAACCGGTTGCCAGCCAATCGCAGGGCACACAGAGACGAACAACCATCAGCGCTCACACTCACACCTAGGGAAAATTTGGAGTGTTCAATCAGCCTGCCATGCATGTTTTTGGAATGTGGGAGGAAACCGGAGTACCCCGAGAAAACCCACGCAGGCCCGGGGAGAACATTCAAACTCCACACAGGGAGGCCGGAGCTGGAATTGAATCGGTACCTCTGCACTGTGAGGTTGACGCGCTAACCACTGGTCCACCTGGCCGCCCGATGGCATAATCAAGAGGCTAATTTCTTCCAAAGAGATTTGTTTGTGACAGCCCCGTGGTTATGTGGCACAAAGTTTGTCAAGCTTTTTTTTTTTTCGCCATTGTCAACATTACTGACTCCATGTTTCAGGTTTCTTTGCTATATTGTGGAAGGTGCTGGCCATTTAGTTTTGCTCGCGAACCCACCATTATTTCCTTATCATACATTCTAAATTTCACCTATTCCTATGTTGCCCAGAATTTAATTTTTAACCACACAACAATCAAAATAAGGGATATAGAATGCGCGGTCTCAGGGCATCCAAGGGAATTCACGAACTCACCCCAATGTTAACCGCATAAAACCTTTTCCTAACAACGGAAAACTTTTTCATTTTCGTTTAAAATGGCTTACCTTATTTGGAATCCTGCATTGTACAATCCCGCTCAGTTATTGCACCTTTCGGTGCAAATCCTTATTGTGGCGGAAGGAAGCCGCCTGCTAAACTAATGTTACCTCACACATCTGTTGCCATGACTACTTGCTTTCTGCTTCCATTTCTTCTTCTTTGTCTTCTTCCAATTCTTCATCTTTCATTTCTTCCCCTTTCCCCATCTCTTCTTGTTCTTTTTCTTTTTCCTTTTCTTTTTTTTCTACCGTTTCTTTGTGATATTTTTCCATTTCTTGTTCTTGTTCTTCTTTTTCTTTGTCTTCTTCTCCTACCTTCTTTTGGCGGGTGGCAAATACATTTGGTGTGTTACTGCCAATGGAATGAACGTGGGGGTGATGCAACAAAAGTATTATAGTATAAGTAAAGTATACAGTCGTTATAAATCAAATGTTACATGTGACTCTCCTAGACGATGTCCAAGAAGCTTACAACCTCATACAAGATTTAGTGCCTACGACACCTCAGGTGAGGATTCTCCTTTATACGTACAACCCGCTAATCGTGGCCCAAACTGGAGATCAACCAAAATCCATTGGAAAAATATGCCTCAAAAGTCCAACAGAACTTCTGACTGTCAACATTATTGAGCTGAGCGAGAATCTGACGAATTAGGTCACCCTGCAAGTACTATTTCCGTTTCGCTTTTCTTGTGTTGTGCATTTTTTTTGTATTGTAACCACAGAACCACTGCTGGTCTGATGATATGATCTCTCAAAAGTTGCCGACATCTTTTCAAATGAACGGTTTGAGCTCATGAATATTTCTCCACAACATTCGGGTTGAACGTTACAACTTGTGCAACCTAGGACAATTAACAATTCGATTCTGTTTGGTTCAATCAAAGCCGATTTTCCGATTCAAACTGGTTTTCGTGGCCCAACCAAACGTACCGAACACTCAAAAAGATGTCATGAAAAATATGTTTTGAAAGTTAATACAACTAAACCATTTAACAAATGTGCTGTAACGGCAAATTTGTTGAAGTCGCTGTGACAAATTATACAATCTGAACAATTCATTCAGTGATTCTTTCACTAACCACTAGAGGGAGCGCGTGTACCACAAGTAGTTCAAGTACCACGCTTTAAGAATCACTGAAAGGACGTTTGTCGTAATACTTGATTACTTTTTGACAGGAGTATATTTTGAAAGGGGTGGTTAATGCTGCTCTGGGGCAACAGCTTGGAACGGTGAGTGTTTGTTTTTGAAATTACATTTAATATGTCGGGGGTGCATGTGTGTGTGTCTGACCTAACTCTGTGTCCATTTTCCCAGAGGGAGTACTTGAAAGTCGCCCAGCAGTTCTTCCAGTTGGTCGGCGGCTTAGCCAGCAAGATCGGTACGCTGAGAAGAAATGTGAACATTTTGGTGCTGGAGCTGTGTGGGCAAGCTAAGCGTGTGTTTATTTTTGTATGCCGTCTTTCAGACACTATTCCTGGCAGACAGTGCATGGCTTCCTGCTTCTTCCTCTTGAGGAAGTTTGATGATGTGCTCACATACCTCAACTCGGTCAAGGTTCCTATCGATGGCTGTGTATTATGCTGTATTAAATGCATTTTATGTGAATTATGAAGCATATAGGTGACTTGTGACTTGCTTACGTCCTCCGAATACCCAAGATCACAGAGCACCAAGCGTCAGTTTGAGCTTATACTTCAAGCCTCCTCCAAAGGTTTTGAATGAGAAACATCGTACGTTATAATATAGTACAGTACTTTCTAGTAATATATAGTACTGACACAATAAAATAGAATGTAAATAATTAAAAGCGTTTGCACACTGTAACTAATTCATTGAACTCCTGGTGTGCACGATAGTACAATACAGCCATGCACAAATGAGTTAAAAAAAAAGTAAAAAAATAAAATAAAATCACAACTCCTCTAAGTGACTCTCTCAACCGTAGTATATAAGTCCGTTTTTGCTGAGGATAAAGAAGGTATGCCTGCAAGTATTTTCATATCTGTACATTTACACGTGTTGATGCACCGCTCGTGTTCAAATAAGCATTCCTGAAAAGGTTCAAACACCGCAAAGCCCGTCAAAGTCAAAATGCAAAGGCTCCGTTTTTTTTTTTCAGTTCAGCGGAGCAATAAAGCCCTGACATTGAATAGGCACTTGGTGCTCTCTGCATCGGAATAAATCATATATATAATATCCCAGCATATTACATGAGGAAAATATAGCATGCCAGAGTTAAAAATGTTACGAGTCAAAATAACATAAAATACAGACGTTGGTCTAAGTTTGCCTTTCATTTTAGGGTTACTTCTACAACAACGATACATTTAATTTCAACTATGCTCAGGCCAAGGCAGCCATCCGTAACTTCAAAGAAGCAGAAGAGGTACCACAGCGCCTTGTTTTTTTTTTTTTTTTTCCCCACTAGATTATTTACTTCTCATTTTCATGCTTTCTCCAGATTTTTCTTCTGATTCAGAGTGAGAAGATCAAGAGTGACTATGTATACCTCAGCTGGCTAGCCCGCTGCTGTATGTATTTTTGATTTTCCTATTCATCCATCCATTTTCCAATCCGCTTCATCCTCACAAGGGTCGCGGGGCGTGCCGGAGCCTATCCCAGCTGTCTTTAGGCGGTAGGCTGGGGACACCCTGAACCGGTTGGCAGCCAATCTTAGGGCACACAGAGACGAACAACCATCGGCACTCATGCTCACACCTAGGGACACACCTGCCATGCATGTTTTTGGAATGTGGGAGGAAACCGGAGTACCCGGAGAAAACCCGCGAAGGCACGGGGGGAACATGCAAACAAGGCCAGAGCCGCGATCGAACCCACGACCTCTGCACTGGGAGGTCAACGTGCTAACCATTGGACCACCGGGCCACCATTTTCCTATTCATAATATCCCAAAGCACAAATGCTTGCATTTTCCATTTTGGTTCCACCGCTTGACTAAAATCTCCTCTCAGGCATTTTTGTGCGTAACCTCTTCCTTGTCAGACATCATGAACCAGAAGGGTCGTCTCGCCTGGGAGCTTTACTTGAAGATGGGCACTTCCTCGGACTCTTTCAGCCTGCTTCAGCTCATCGCCAACGACTGCTACAAGGTAGCCATGGAATCACGTGATAAGTTGTGAACAGTGACGCTTTCGGCGACAAGCTATTTACGCAAGCATATGCTCGGTAAAGTACGGAGTGTTCCGCCCCAAAATTGATATCACAAAGTATGAAGATAGTACACCTCTGTCGATGTTGGTGAAGTACGGAGTGTTCCGCCCCAAAATTGACATCACAAAGTATGAAGATTGTACACCTCTGTTGATGTTTCAGATGGGCCAGTTCTACTATGCAGCCAAAGCATTTGACGCTCTGGAGAAGCTGGACCCCGACTCCAACTACTGGGAGGGCAAGAGAGGGGCATGCGTTGGCATCTTTCAGCTCATTTTAGCCAACAAGGAATCCAAGTATGTTTGGCTATTATACCAACATTTTTATCATATACACTGCTCATTATTCTTCCACGAGCACTCGGTGTAAGGTTTACGTTCACATTCACACCAAAAGGACAACGTTCAGATTTTAACCCTTCCGTGCACCGGGTAACCTGATAAACTGTCCACTGTAGCAACCGCTTTCCTTCAAAGACTTTCATGTGGAAACCGAGATTTGAACCCGGAACCTCTTGACTGTGAGGTAGATCTCATAATCACTCGCACCGTTGCGCTTCAAATTGTTTTCATCCATTCAAAATGAGAGGAAAGCACATTTTTATGTCTTCGTTGTAGCCCGGGTGAGTTCATTTCTGGGTTCTCAGAGAAGCCCGGCGAGCTGCTCAAATTTGAGTGCAAAAACGTTGAAGGACTGAATTTGAAAGCGTCCACATGAAAAGATCTTGATGGTGCTCAAAAAAAAAAAAATGTTGCATCTGCACCAGGATGGACCCAACCATCCATCATTGTTTTTTCATAGTATGTATAGTACTTGGAATAATGGTCAATAGTTGCCTTCCCCTGCCCATCGACCGTTGAGTAAATTAACCCCCCCCCCCCCCAGCAATCATTAAACAAAAATTAGGTAAATAAGAATGAGTGATGGAAGGCCTCTTTGCATGTTGTTGCTGTGCCAGGGAGACACTTAAGGAGGTGGTGCTCTTGCTGCGCAATTCCGGAAACCCGCAGGTGGAATACATCATCCAAGCCATGAGGAAGTGGGCCAAAGACAACAGAGTCTTCCTCTCGTGACACACATCAGCTGCCCGTGTGTCACAATGAATACCTGTTTAAAGCTAACATGATTAGATCGGTTTAGGTTTGTGAATAGATGGTGGTACTGCCTGTATTATTATATTTTTTTAATCAAATATATGTGCATTTTAATTATGAGCACTAAATGCGTTGTTGTTATTTTTACTCTCTGAGTGATCAGTCGATTGGGCAAAAAAAAATGACTGCAGTGGATAAAAATGAATTGAAATGACAAACCAGGGTTTTACCAGCCACAACTGGACAACCTAATGAGATCTAAATATTCTGCCTTTCCAAAGATACGGATAGATAGACTGAAGAGATTTTAGAGCTTTCATTTTATTGCCCAAAAATTAAATAGCTGACATGTGTAAAGAAATCAAAGTCAGTCCAATGTATAAATGACAGAAGCTACGGGAATATTTTAACATTCTAGTATTAGACATTCAAATAGGCTCAGGTTTTATGGATACTATTACAGGGTGTGTCAATAACAAGTGAGACCTCTTATATTAGATCTTTGTAAACTGCAGGTGCTCATAATTTTATTTTTGTAACCTTTATTTATCCAGCTAAAGGCAGAAGTTTGTGGCTGATAGGTGCAGAAATACACTTTTGGGGGATGTGGTCTTGATGCAAAAAAAAAGAAATTAAATGCAAAAAAATGAAATGAAATACCTTAATAAAATTGACTCCAGTATATAAAAGGACAGTCGAGGCTTTAAAAATTTTATTGTAGGTGACATTTTTTAGGTATTTGGCACTATTGCAAAAAACTAAATAAAAATAAAATAGCTGCAGTATGTAAACAGATTGAGTTTACTCCTTCTTGGAAATAAAAGGGAATAAAAACAAAGCTGTACACGTCAAAGGATTGTAGCCCCTCCAAAAATCTAAAGATATTTATAATACACATTTAAATAAAAAAATATAAATGTATAGCTCCCTACTGAACAGATGGGTAAGTTAGAGGCCTGTGCTAAAGACAATGAACAGGGATATCGTCATCAGTTCCAATTTTTCTTGTGAGCTGCGAATAAACTTCTCAAAGATATTCTCAAAAGTACAGGGTGTTCCAAAAGTCATGGGCACATTTTGACATTGAATACCTCGGAAACTATTAAGGATATAAAAACGCATCTGGTAAATTCAGAAAGCTTGTAATCTCAATTTTTACATGGTATGCTCAAAGATGTTCAATGTGAGCACCATTGGTCACACGACACACATCAAGCCGATAGTCAAATTCTTGTTATTGTCAATGGTTGCAGCAGCTTCTGTTATTCGTGCCTTCAGCTTAAAGCATAAGCACCCATTTGTTATGAATTTACCATGCCATCTCACTATGGACTTCCTCTCTGGTGGTTCCTTTCCGAATTTTCTGCGAAATGCATGTTGAACAACAGTCCATGATTCAGTTTTTTGCAAATTTAAGCACACAAAACGCCTTTTCTGGTTGAGTGAATGCCATTAATGGGTCTGAAAAATTAAAAAATCAATAGCTTTACGAAAAACTTAATGTAATTGGCTTTAAAATGGCACGACTTTTATCTTATTACCATTCATAGTTCAGGAGATATGGGGACTTCAAATGTGCCCAAGACTTTTGGAACACCCTGTACATAGGTGACTGATGAGAACAGAATCTATACCGCTGCCTTTAAAGATACCATATGCCAAAAAAAACAAACAAAAAAAAGGCACTTTGAACATCAAGGGAAAGTGGGTCCAGGCACCCATAGCCCCCACCCGCCTGCGTGTCCCTGTTTAAATGAGTGCATGTTGTAATGGAGACATATTTACAGGCTCTTTGATTTTTTTTTTTTTAAATGTAGATTAGACCTAGCATATTACCTGCCACAGTGGAGGAGGGGTATTCAGTATTGGCTTTGTTCTGAAGTGCCCCCCCCCCACACACACACACACGCTTAGGGGGTTAATTCGGCCTATGGTCTCGCTATCATATTTCATGTCGTGCCATTTATGCACCCACTGATGAGTCAACAGGTGTCTCCTCTGCTGTCACGAGAAAAAAGGCATTGGGCTGACCATGACTCTGGTTCAGCTGCCATTGTTGGGGAAATGAACGCTGCAATCAGCATTTTATTTCCTGAAACGTTACATAATATGTTACTTGCACGTAGGGTATGAGACGTCATGACACAACGTGTGAGCTTCTCTTTACCGATGTGTCCTTCTGCCACTCTCTCAAAAGGTCATTAAAGTAGTAGTAATGCTGTTATTAACGCCTGTTGTGGCAGGGGGCGGGTCTAAGGTCGGGGCAGCCGCTGATTGGACACCTTGACGCCCTACGAGTGGCACGGCGTTTCCGGTCCGTGCGTGCGCGCATGCGCAGTGACCCCTCTTCCCCTGGTCTGATATTTTATTTACTCCCAAAACCAAGATGGCTTCTGTGAATGTGTCGGTCCCATAGCAAATCGAGGATGCGAATAGCTGCCGGAAAAACAACTTTCTCCCGACCGTCGCATCCACTGGAGTCCGTTTCGTATGGTTCGGAGGAGGCCTCCACCTCCGCGTAGCCGCTGAGCAGCCTTTGGGGCTTCGCGGAACCGTCCTCAAGGCACCAATTTGGTGTAGTTTGGTCAAGTATCCTGGTCTCCTTCTCGCCGTGTGTCCGGAGAGAGGTGCGGGAAGGCGGCTCATCCAAATGGCCGAACCGAGAAAAGTGCAGTTTGTCACCCTGTCGGCCTTCGCGGCCGGGGCCGCCTCGGAGTCGAGGAAACGCCGGTTGGAGGACGAGGCCGACTACAGCTTAAGCGAAGACGACGAGGTCGGCGTGTCGGCGGTGGAAGGCTTGACGGAGACCGGGGCAGGAGGCGCCGCGAGCCGCCGCGCCAAAGCCGGGGAGAGGGACAAGGCTGGAGCCGAGAAGAGAGCGACGGTGCGGCTCAACCTGCCCCTCAGCGAGCCCGACGACCGTGCCTCTGCCGAGTTCAATTACGGTGAACTCCTCCACAACCTCCAGGTACGTCAGCCCCACTCACTTTAGTGAGCCGGACTCGGGATTTTATTGCACTTTGCCGTGTTTGTGTGGACTTGTCATGGCTTTGATAAGACGAGGAGGCGGAGGAGGGGTGGGGGGGAGTGCACCTTGTCCTTCCGTGGATGACCAAAGCAGAAAGCCAGCAGAGGGAGGGCTTCTTGTTCAACTCCCAACTCGGTCGTTGAACACTATTTGGAGAGGAGGCTGTCTGGCTCATTATGCCATGGTGGTGCTGGGCTACCTGTGCCGCCGTCGCCGCCGCCGCCTCTTGCTTGCCCAGCAACAGTCACACAGCCATTATAGAGGCGTCCACATGCCACATGCAGCAGCCTCCCCCTCCTGCTCGCTCGTTGGCCCTCTGGCTGCAGCTGAGAGATGAGCACCAGGACGTAGCATGCCACACGCGGCACCTGGGCCCCCACCACGAATTGCTTTATTTACACCACTTCAAGCCAGAGGTGGCGAAAGTGCTCCCACTCTGAACTGAAGTAGGAGTTCAGATACTTGTGTGGGCAAGGGGGGGGGGGGGGAACTGGTGAAACTACAAGTACTGAAGTTAACCCTAAAGGTCGGAAATTATTATTGACACACAAAGAAAAAAAATCACGTCATATTTGCTGCAGCTGTACGTATGACTTGTCACCCCCCCAACCCCCTTCGGTGTTGCAATTGCAATTGAAGATGCAATTATTTTTGTGGTAATTTTTAGCAAACACAAGCAATATCTAGCTTGTGTTTGTTGATGAATGAACAATATCAGATTTCATATCTATCTACGTTTTGGCCTTATAACACGTTTTTTTGCGGATCCTTACAAAGTCCTAAAGCAATCAATTGGAATTAAAATATTTTGAAGCAATCTTTGAAAGGTCCAAAGAAATTCTAACAGGTAAGTATAATTTTGTGATGGTAAATGACAAAATAAGTTCACTTTCTTCAAAATTGTATTACCCTTTTGATAATGTCATGCAATCACAGCAGTGGAACCAATAAATCAGTGATGTGGTTTTGGTTTGGAATCTTAATAGCAGATGCATAACATTTATGGACTTGGGGGAAAAAAAGTGAAGTAGAGTTCCGATGTGTTTCTCTTTTAAGTACAATATATTTTGCATTTAATCATTTACACATGTTTGCTTTCCAATGTTTATTGGGGTACACATTGTATTTGTCTTAAGTGCAATACATTTTCAGTGAATCATTTGTTTGTTTTTTCATTTGCCATATATTTAAGATCAGGGTTAAAACTTTTTTTTGGGGGGGGGGATGAACACTTGGGCATACTATGCTACTGTATTTTCGTGTTACTTGGAGCGTCAAGTACTTTTGGAGTTGGTACTCAGCGGGAGAGGTCGGGGTTGCAATCCCTGACCATTGCGACCTTGTCGTAGTGTCTTTGAGCAAGATACTGAAGCCCCAGTTGCCTCTGATGCTGCGTCATCTGTCGCTAAATGAGGAAACGGGGCAAAGCGCTTTGAGTACAAAGGTAGAAAAGCGCTATATAAGACCATTTAATGCCATTTCTAATCGCAAAGGCTGCAATTTGGGGCCGGGGGGGAGGGGCTGTTTCATTTTGGTTGATTGGTAGGATTTATTTATTGATCTATTTATTTATTTATGTGTGTGTATATATTTCTCTAAGGATATAGTTCAGTGTGGCAAGGATAGATAAGTGCAGTTGACATTTTGTTTCATGAAACCTGAATGGTTGAAGTGATTCAAGCGCCTATTTCTTTGCATTATGGTTGTAATCTGATCCATGATTTTACGTAACTGACCCGTGTTTACGTCACACCCGTTTGGTGCAATTTTGTGAAGTTGTCGCCGTGAACGCTTAAAAGAGAGCAAGTCACGTCAAAGTTAACCACTCGAATTGAAGTAGACAACTCAAGAATATGAATATGTCATGAACTCATTTGCTGCCCGTATTGTAGTGACCAAAACGTTGCTGTGTGGTAAATCTGAGATAATTTATTGCAACGCAGATGAATAAATAACGTTGCTGTTTGCAATTGATTTCTAAACATCCAACTGCTAACGTTGGTTCCAGCCGAAGAACAAACCTCCAAGTGAGACTCCCGCCCCCGACCCCGACGACCCCTTCAACGATGACGAGAAGGAGCGACTGCAAGTG